TGCAAAATATTGGCTGCGTGTTCAGAGTTGTCTCATTTCATTGGTGATGAAAGCTGGCGGCCGTTCAAGTGTTGAATCTAATTTCTTGTGATGCTTCAGAAGATATTTCTAAATCTTTAACATGGCTGAAGCACCACACGATGTAACGCGTCCTATTTCCCCACGAACGCACTCTCAGTCCAGTCTGCGTTCGACTGTGCGTCGGCAGCGCTGACAACAGTGCTCGGCTGCCGTCCCGCCGTGACACCGTGACCTGTTGGAGGTCACCGACTGCCGGGGAAAACGCCGCGCCGGCTTTCACATTTGACCGATTTATTAAATAATCGGGTATTCATTAGCGTCATTTTCATGTTTTGGTATCGGTAATTTGGCGGCTCTATATCCGGCCCCGAGGGGACGGAGGCCGTCTGGCCATAATAGCCCAGATGGCACGCCCCGCCGGCGCTCTGATTGATCTGAAACGAATGAAGTCCGGCTCTTTATAACTAATAATTGAATGATAGCCGTGAAAAATATTCTGAATCGCTAAGGATTTAATGATAGGCTAGCCTTACCGACTTCACGGTAGTTACCGACGGAATGAGAAATGAAATTCTAAGGCGTGTGAGCTGGAGAGGTATAAGGCCACCAAGTCGTTATTATTGCTGTATGCGCCGTTCCGGTGAGGGTTTGTCGCTTGTTAATGACTAACGGCTTCATCCGTTATTACCGCCGCCCCGGTCAATAAGAAATGCCATGTTTGATTAACACTTGCGGCACGCTCGTGTAAGCGCCCTGTGGATAGATAAACATCATCCATTTCCTGGCGTCACAATAGGCTGATGGTGTAATGCGTTTGAGAGCCGCTGGCCGGCGTCAGAGGTCAGAGGATGATCCTCCGCCGCAGGGACGTGGAGGAGGACGGTCCCCGTCTCTCGGCCGTGTCCACCTATGGGGGTGGTCCTCCGCCGCAAGGATGTGGAGGAGGACGGTCCCCGTCCCTCGGCCGTGTCCACCTGTGGGGGGTGGTCCTCTGCCGCAGGGATGTGAAGAAAGACGGTTCCCGTCCCTCGGCCGTGTCCACCTGTGGGGGTGGTCCTCCGCCGCAGGGATGTGGAAGAGGACCGCCCCCGTCCCTCAGCCGTGTCCACCTGTGGAGGTAATCCTCCACTGCATGGATGTGGAGAAGGACTGCCCCCGTCTCTCAGCCGTGTCCATCCGCGCAGAATGGTGGCAGCGCAGCGCTGGACTCCCGCGTACCGCTGTCACCAGCGTGGGAAAGATATCGGTCACCGGGTGATGCGCCTCAGCAGCTCAATGAACCGGGTTCCGTAAAGGACGGACACGGCAAAAAAGGTTCTGGATAGATCTTTCAACGCAGTTCAATGTCCCCTGCAGGTGTTATATGGCATCCATCTGTGAATGTTGCCACAAGCATGGTTGCCTTACCGTACACTCACGTTTAAACTTCAGTTTTAGGGAACGTCGACCAGAATAGCTGTGATATGAAAATGCTTGGATACGTGCCACTGCATTGATCATTGCTAAAAAGTGTCCCGAATGACCGGATATCAGCAAGAGAGACCTTGATTTCCTGCATTTTGCGTTGGTAGTTCTTGTCCTGACAATGATCCATGGACGCAGTTGTCAAAATGAGGGGGCCAAGTCGTGAAAAATGACAAAAGATGTCCCTAAAATACGTCAACAAACGGAGCTCTCTCAGAATTTGGCCCACTTCCTTCTCAAAGCTGGGGGCGGGGCTGGAGCCATCTTAGCTGGCAAGAAAACTACCTACGCATTAATCGGCCTACACTAGACCGGGGGAATGACGTTCTTGAGAAAGCTAGAGCTACATTGACAAAGGTCGATGCTTCAAGTTGTGCTCGTGGCCAGTCGTGGCCATGTACCATTGTCTCGTCGCCACAGCTGGAAACATTGACTGCAGCTGATATAGCCATTGTTTGCTTGATAGCGTCACTTAACCAGTACGTATTTCGATTTTGAACGTCGATTATTGCCAGCATAAGAATTCCCAACCTACTATATCTGAGACTTAAACATCTTTGAGTCGAACACATTTTGTGTATGGATGTATCACCATTTCCTGATGCATGCTTGTGAAAAGCACTGCAAGCGTTTCGCAACATAGTTGCGACACTGAGTGGGCGGTTAATTACATATTTCTGGTGTATGGACAGACTCACGGTCCATTAGCGTCAAAAGTATGCAATGCATCAAACAGGAAAAGAGGTAACACGTTTTGTTATTTTGAAAACTCGTCTGAACCCGTGGCCCAAGTTTAGACTTGAGCGAAAAGAAATATTTCCAGCTCTTTCCACGAAGCATACGGCTGCTTGTTGTGCGGCTCACCATATTTGAGTGGTCTCAGAGGGCCTCAATTCAATCGTGTCTTCGTGGGTACCGTAAATCGCGTCCCGTTTCTGCTGCAGTCCTCCGTGGTGGGCTGCACGCCGCCAAACAGTGGGATTAGAGCGGTTGTTCCGGGCGACAGTAAGCCTGCATGTGTGATACTGCCCCGCACTCAGTTCACGCCACATAGCTGATGCATAATTGGCCTTCTTCGAATGTTTTACAATGAGGACTGGTGTTGTGCATGCACGGTGCTGTGCATATGCAATGATGCATGTGTGTTGAAACGCGAGTGCTTGGTGTTAAGCTACGCTATTCGAGCCCATTGAAGGGGGGGGGGGGGGGTGTTACCCGTTGAGCTTTCTAACACTTATGCCAGAAGTCAAGCCAGCTGTAATGAATGTCATTGTTACGATGCATCACTTGATCAGATCTGATTTTTTATGACCATTTTCGGCCAGAAGGTGGAGCAATTTGCTTGCTTATGCTGGTGTCTTCGGGGTGGCCCATTGGCCAACATCGCCGCGGCTGGAGATCAAGGGGGTGGGGGGTCAGGACCCCTGGATCTTTTGGAATTGGCTTAACTTGGAAGGGTCAGGGGTTCAAAGATGGATAGCTCATGAGGGGTTTATGAGATTCATAGCTCAACTTTTCAGATGGGTGGAGTGAGTGAGCGCTAACGAGCACTCAAACGCAGTGTTACAACAGGCGCCCGCTCTCCCGCCTGCTTTAGCGTTCGAATGCTGTTTTAATTGGCTTGTTATGATCGTTGTAGCCCCTCAATTCCGAGTCATCGTTCAACATATATTTTTAATGGGACTTTGACACCGCTGCACAAGTGGCACAAACGCTAGAATGATTTTACTTTACCCTACAAGAAAAATAGCGTCTAAATGTCTGCATCGGTCCTTCATTGCCGCGGCCTAGTCGTCATTGATTAAAAACCTCGCCACTTTTCTGGAAACACGATCGCGTTTCACTAGGTTTGCACTCACAGTAAACATGCTTGTCGCTTGCAGAACCGGAGATGCGTCACTGCGAAACAACACCGTTGTACAATAGCAGCGTATACAATCTCCGGTGATGGCGTCATCTATTGAAAGTCGTTGGCATTGAGGACACACAACCAGGAACCAAGCGTTTGGCTATTTCTTTAACTTTCCTGCACCACGACAGTCGGTTGAAAGCATGCAAGATGTGTCAATAGCAAATTATTATTCAAAATATTTGTGCTGGTGCATCTTTTTGCACGGCGCACTTTCTACCCTCGTAAAATAGCCATGCTGTCGGCGTACCATAGAACACCAATAAACAACAGAGCGTGGAAGCGTTTTTCCAGTTTTCATATTTTCTTATCTAATGGTGCTAGGTGAGGTTAAGTGGGTTGGTGTTTGGCCTGATGCGTATCATTTGATCAGTTTCTCTTGGATGACGTAGTTGGCTTCTAGATATTGATACTGGTCCTGCATGTGACGCATTCAAAAGCCAGTCTTAATTTTTGTTTAGCTGAGTTTCGACGCATGCATACACGCACTCCCAGACTCCAGTGGAACTGCAAACATCGCCAGACATCGTGCACAGTCGGAGACCGGTGACCGCTGCGCGCCCTGAGCCAGGGGAGGCGCTGCCGTCTGCTGGATGCCACTGTGGGCCGGCCAGTCCGTCACTTAATGATGCATACCATCAGTGGAAGGCAGGTGGACGCACTGGTCCTGGCGCGTGCTGCCGTGTACAGTAAATTCCGCGACAAGTTCCTTTCAATACCAAGCGTTTAAAAATGACCTTTTTACAAAAATAATCGCGCTCTGAGGTTCTTGCGAGCTGTAGTCAACATCTTGTGCGTCAGATGCTGCTTTCCTTGAACTGATGGGCAGCAAGAAATATGGCTGAAGACAACGTCAATCCGAATTTATTTCGCTGCGGATCTGGATGTGTGCCAATAGTCGAGCACTCCCTCAATGCATAAGGTGAAGTATGCCTACCTAAATGCCTACGTAAATGTGTTGTAGTGTAAGTGTGTAGTGTAATATTGTAGTTAGATGTAAAACCGCAGTGCAAATGGTTCGGTTGAAATCGGCTTGCTGTGGGTAGAAATGCAACTTTTAATGAATGTTTTACCACAGCACCTCAGGATGAAATGAGCTTGGGTGTATTCCGTCAATGCGGACCAACACCGCCTCGGTGGTGCTGGTTGGTTGGTTGTTTGGATTAGAGCCCTTTCGACCGTAGATGACCATGTCAGGGCTATGGTGGTGGTCGTGTTGATTTGGTGTTTAAGGGCGCGTCGGCATCGGGGCCATTTTGCGCCCAATTTCAGGGCTATGAAATGAAGGTAAGTGGTTATCGGTGGGGCAGGCTTGCATGCGCCTGGGGGGCCAACCGCCGAGCCTTAGCCTAGGCATGTGCGCCGGGTACCCGGTCGGGAGCCCCCTTCCCACGGGGCCTCTCGGCCCACTCGTGGCTGACGCGTGCAGCCTGCTCCAGAGAAGCGGGGTGTCGCAAGGATGCAGGATGGAGCAGGGATGGAGGATAAGTGGGTCGTGGTGGTGCTGATCCACCTGCCGCTCTTTTATCCGCGCGCACCGTCATCCGAGGTTCGGCAGGTACGCGACGTTGATCAGCGTCTGATCATCACAAACGCACACACCAGATAATAAATTAACTGTTTATTGATGTATAAATTACATAACATTAACTCTCAGTTCCGTTGTATTTACAGCGTGACAGTAACAAGACAATCGGTCAGGATCGGTTAGCACTGCCAGCGCCTTTGAGAGGCAGGCGGGCAGCAGCGCGCGGTGGCGAGGCCCACCGGCCCTGCCCGCTCGCACACCGCGCCACCTGGCCTCAGGCACCCAACCTACGGCTGACGGCAAATAGGAAAACCACGGCAACGCGGCGTCCCGACTCTGGGCCCCACTGCGCTCTGCTCCTCACGGCGCGTGGAGGGGCGGGCTGACAACAGCGACGGCGCCGCGGGCCGCCGGAGCGAGCCGCACTGGCGGCTTACTGACATCCAGACGGCGGCGGCGGTGGGGCTGACTAGAAGCTAGCGTGGCGACGACGGGCCGGGGCGTCGCAGGGCGCAGCACCACCTGACCCCGGGTCAGGTCAGGTCGGAAGTCAGCCGAACAGGTCTCCTGGGCCAACGAGCAGCGCGGCAGCAAATGGCCTGCAACAAAACAGCGCCCGGTCAGGAGAAAAACAAGGTGGCAATCCGTTGACGACAGGACAGACAGCGACGCTCCGGGAAATTAATGAGAACGAGAAGTCACGTCGGTTTTTTCTTCATGCCATGATGTTATCAAACCACGGAATGGACCGTCGCTACTGACAAGGAATCGGGAGATAACAAGGACAAGCAAAAATGAAGCGTGACGCAGGCCCGGCCGGCCACTGACGGTGTTCCGTGCCGGGCTGCAAGTCGGGCCCGTCGCTTGCCGTGAGGCTCACACCTCCGCCGCCAACAATTGATAAAATGCCGTAGAAATTAACAACGAATTACCTTCCGGTACTTAGGTGCCTGACATGGGCGTGCATCATGGAAGGTGTCTGGTATGGGCGCCGCGCAGTACGACGGTAATTAGCCGGCGATGGGCGCCGGACACGCTACCGCAGGCAGCGGCAGCGGCGAGTGCTGCAGGCGAGGGCCAGCGCCCAGCGCCGCACACCGCCCACCGCACACCGCACACCGCACACGAAAGGCACACCACCACAGGTGGCGGCGGCGGCAGGTGCTGCAGGCGAAGGCCAGCGCCCAACGCCGCACACCGCACACCTCACACCGCACACGAAAGGCACACCACCACAGGCAGCGGCGGCGACGGGACTGCAGGCGAGGGCCAGCGCCCAGCGCCGCACACCGCACACCGCACACGAGAGGCACACCATCACAGGCGGCGGCAGCGACGGGGCTGCAGCCGAGGGCCAGCACCGCACACCGCACACCGCACACCACACACGCTGGGCGCACCACCACAGGCGCCGCGCGGCCGGGTGTCCGCGGACAGTCACACTGCGTTGGAGCGTGTCGCGATCTCTTGTTAAATTTGTAAGAAGTGTCGTGAAGCTTCGCAGACTCTTGTACTGTGCTTGATAATGGGCACGTACTGGATGCTTTCCGCTCGTTAGTTGAGTACCCGAAGCCCTCCGAACATTTTATGGGCGTATATCAAGCCAGGGAAAGTAACAATCGATCAGATATGTTGCGCGGTGCAGAGTCCAGTCTTCAGAGCAATTTCGACCGTAAACGATTAGCAGCAACACAAGACAAGCCATGACGGCCTCACTAGCTACATTATGATGGTGGTTGTGCACATTAATGCGTGTGTCGACGACGCCTAGCAACCGCTTTGATGCCGGGAAAATCATTGCATGGCTAAATGACGATGCACGTAATAGCTATAAGTCAACAAACTTGCATTTAATCTAACCAAAGGCGAAGGGATCAATGCAATTTTACTCAATATTTAAATGAATCACATGGATAAGCACATAGATCTGCACATGCTGAATGATGTAAGATGCCAACAAAATCTTACATCTCAAGCTGCACGCATCAGTGACTGCAAACGGCGTCGGTGGGTACAGATTTATCGCCACAGGCCCGTCGTATCTCGGCCGGGTGGGCCCGAGCAGTGACATGCCGACAGCACCATCGAACCGTCCTAGCTCGGCCGTGGGGAGGGAGGAGGGGGCGAGCAGTGACACGCCAACAGCACCATCGAACCGTCCTAGCTTAACCGGGGGAGGGGAAGGGGGGTGGGGGGTGGGAGGGGGCAGCAGTGACGACCGGCAGCACCGCCGGGCCGCCCTAGCTCGGCCGAGCCGGCCCCCGAGCAGTGACGGGCCGACAGTACCGCCGGGCCGTGTTTTCCGATCGCCGTTCTGTGCCCCAGGTATGGGGGCCGGCCCGATTCGACGGCCGGCTTCAGTCACGCAAACACGTGAATGTTCGCTAAACGGACATTGCGCCTTGGTAATGACTTATTCACAGAGTGCTAAATAACGTTTATAGCACGCTAATGTGAAGAGGTTGAGCACCAATTCATTGGTGTCAAGATTGGGTGCTCAGCCTCAGGTGAGGCCAAAGCACGCCAAGGCATGACGTGCGCGATATCGATTGATCCACAAAGGCCCCGTGGAATGCAAGCAGCGGCCCGCCGCCTGCAGCCCAGCAGCTCTAGTCGGCTGTGACTCCGTCTGGCGAACCCTGGTGATTTGGTGGGCGATGACGAGAAGGAATTCGACACCTGGCACAGGTTGATATCGCAAATTTTCTACACTTCGTCACGCCCGAAAACCAGCTAAATCCTGCAGCAATCCTGCCCGCTCCGCCCCGCCCTCCAGCCCGCTGGGAAGTTGTCCTGAAAAACTGTCATAGACCCGTCTCAGTTCCCGCATCAGTTCGGGAGCTAGAAACAAATGCATGTGCATTGGAATGCAGTTCAGTGCTTGCTATGCCTTTATACTGAGGCACTTCTGTTGGCAGTGCGACGGCCGCCACGTAGACATCTGAACCAGGCTGTTAAGCATGGCGTACGGTACAATGATGCGAAGAGCAAGTTGGCTTTATCGGTGATGATCTTATGCTTCTCAGTTCATAATTTTAATTACGTCTGTGATTTCTGTGATATGCGAGGAATGCACAATAATACCTGAACCCAACTGAACTCATCCAAATTTGCTGGCGTAACTAATAACTGTGTGTCAACCGGAGTCGGACAAGTCAGACGAAAAAGGAGACCAGGAGATAAGGAGAGAAAGAGAGAGCTGAGAGAGAGAGAGAGAGAAAGAGATGGATGGGAGAGAGGCGGATAGAAGAACAGCCAGCCAGACAAACAGACAAACAATCGGAGACTGAGCTTCCGAGAGGCAGATGGACGGGGAGCGAGAGAGCCCATGCTATCGGTGATCTGTCACACACCCGGCCGGACAGCTGACGAGGCATCGGCAATCCATCGAGACACGCGGTAAATTACCGGCCCGTATTGTCCGACTGTGGGCGAGCCGTCAATCATACCGCGGGCCGCCGGCCGGCGCAAGCCTTTTTGTGGAGACGCCCGCTGACCGCCCGGCCGCCAGCCGTTCGTTAAAAAGCTGATTTATAGATAATTCCGATATTAATTAGTACATAACGCTATGTGAATTGGGATTTAGTTACACGCCAGCATCCTATCTGACAGGAATGCGGTAAATTATTTGTTTCTCCTGGCTCAACTATTCGAGTCATTTATATTTGGACATTTGTCTAAATTGATACCCCTCGGCTTTGAAGTGAAGTGATCTGTAACAAACAAACCTGGCCACCGCCGCCGATGAGTTTTTCGTTATGGAAGATGGCCTTCTCCGGCCGCTGCTGCCGTAGTTTGGCCATTGACAAGCCTCTATACAGCCATAGCCATACAGTTCATTTAGCTAGCAGCTAGCTTTACAGCGCAGTACATAAACCTTTTAGAAGCGAATTACCGGGGTGGCAGCGCCTGGGTCAAAATGGCAACGGTCGGACCCGTATTTTTCCGCTCAGCTGCGCCCCGTGATGACAAATGCTCCCTTTCCGTGACAGCCAATAGCACGCCGAACAAAACGCGGGGTACTGGCGGTCATTTGTAGAGCAGACTATCTGTTGACCGCGCGGTGTGAAGGCGGCCACCGAAGCGCCTTCACACCGCGCTGCCTCTGTCCCGGCCGGAGCGGTCCGCGCGGCGAACGGGCCGGCACGGTCACAAGGCGGCACTCTGGCCCCGGGGCGGCACTCTACGCGACATGATTCAGCGGCGTTCAGACTGCTTCAGGACCGAGATGCCGCGGTGGTCACGGTTAAAACGGCACACGTGTGCGATATGTGTGTGATATGCGTGTGATATGTGTGTGATATGTGTGTGTGCTGGAACCTGGGAATGCTCTGGGCACATGTGGGTGCGTATGAGCGAGAGTCCAAACGGCCGGCAAGGGTTAAACTTTTAGTCACGAAGGAAGTACTGCCAAGAGTGCATTCACCGAACGGAGAATGATAAAAAACAATCGGCCTAGACGGAGAGCAGCATGCTGATCAGTGCTCCTTAGTGACATTTTGGCTGGCAGGCGATGGGCAGATGGTACGCCACATGTGCCCGTCAACAGCTGAGCGATACCAAACCGTCTGAGTTCGATTCCCCGCGACGCCCGCCTTTCCTGCCAGGGTGAGAGGCAGGCGACGCCATATAGGCACAGCAGTTGAGTGCGTCGTAAAAGCGGCTATGACACACCAGACCGTCTGATGTCGCACCGGAGGTGAACCGACGTCTCGGTCCCGCCGAAAACGGGCCGGGCCACAACGGCCATGCTTCGGTCGGAGGACCCGCCCACACAGGAGCTCACGGGCGCTACACCATGCCGAGGGAGCGGCACGGACCGCCAGCCTGAGCCGAGCCTGAGCCTGTGCCAGCCACAGCAGGAGCCGGAGCCGGAGTACTGACTCCCGGCACCCGTGGCCGCCTGCTACCGGCGTCGCTGCCGACCGTCAGCGTCAGGCCGCTGGCCGGTCTCCGCGGCCGCCGGCGTCGCTGCCGGCCGTCAGCGTCAGGCCGGTGGCTGGTCTCCGCGGCCGCCAGCGTCGCTGCCGACCGTCAGCGTCAGGCCGGTGGCTGGTCTCCGCGGCCTCCAGCGTCGCTGCCGGCCGTCAGCGTCAGGCCGCTGGCCGGTCTCCGCGGCCGCCGGCGTCGCTGCCGGCCGTCAGCGTCAGGCCGCTGGCCGGTCTCCGCGGCCGCCGGCGTCGCTGCCGGCCGTCAGCGTCAGGCCGCTGGCCGGTCTCCGCGGCCGCCGGCCGGCCCGGCTAGGTGGGCCGGCCGCGGCCCGCCGACACGGAGATCACCCGATACGACCGTGTCAAACAAATTGTGCCCCTCATGTCATCTGGCCGAGCCGATATCGCAGATAGCCGGCGGAGGCGGACGCGACGGCCGACTCCTGAATAACAGCGCGCGTTTACGAGCGGAGCGCACTCCCGCCTTAATTGGCGCCGCCGGTCACCGCGGTGCAGATAGGAAAACCGCCACCGAACTTGGCGCCACCAATAGGCATAATGAATTAGGCGAAAATAATGAAGAAAAATGAGACGGAAACGCGACGAGCATAAGTGATTATGTTAACGAGGGTTTGCTTTTGTGCATACTCGGGTCGCATCGAGAGCGCTCTCGTTAATTGGTTCGTTACCTAGTTAGCGTGTCTCTGCCGGCAGGAAAGCCGTATCTATTAATAACATGTGCGCGACGATGACGGAACGGACCCTCCGCGGGGGCTCGTACCCCAGGGCGTCACCGGTACCGGCCAACGGTGAAGCCGCCCTCGTCGGGCTTCATCGGCAGCGGTCCCCGCCCCTAGGCTCATACCACGGCCCACAGCGCACGGTTCCCTGCCCAGAAGCCTCACCAATAAACAACCATATCAACTCGCAAACGGTCAAATCAACGTCATCGATCACGACCAATGGATGGTGGAGAACGCAAACAAAAGCATTCGTGACACAGCTATGTAACCTAAGTGGCTCCAGTTGGTGCAATAACCGGTCGCCTCAACCACGCACGCGGAGTCACGGGCGCGCGAACTGATGCTGGGCACGGCGCGACTACTGGCCGGAGTCACGTGACGGACCGGGGCCGACCACTGCCGTCCGCCCAGCACTGGTCCGAGCCGGGCTGGCCGGGAGCCGTCCGCCCAGCAATGATCCGGGTTGGGCCGGTCGGGAGCTGTCCGCCCAGCACTGGTCCGGGCCGGGCCGGCCGGGAGCCGTCCGTCCAGCACTGGTCCGGGCCAAACCCAGTCGGGCCGGCCGGGAGCCGTCCGCCCGCCCGCCACCGGTCACAGCCATCCCAGCTATGATGTCTTGATAATGAGCTCCTAATAGATACCCGCGCCGCTTAATTGTTTTACAGCGCCGGCCGGTCGGCATGACAAGCGTGCAACGGAGCGCGTGTTTTTGTTAATTAGCTGGCGGGACGGGCCGACCGGGGAGGGCGGCGCCACGCTCCGACGAGCAGGCCGGCCGCGCCGACCGCCGGCCGCGGCCGTGGCTCCGGCTCTGGCCCCGGCTCCAGCCCCAGCTCTGGCACGGCTCCGGCCGCGGCTTCGGCTCCAGCCGGGGCGCCAGCACGACTTGCCGGCCGCCGGCGCCGCTGGAGAGGCGGGCCAGGCGCATGGAGAACGCCATGTGACCGGGAAGTGCGCGTGAGAGTGCGGTGGTCCAAGTATTGTTCGGTAGCGTTGTAAATTAATCATACAAATTTGTGGTTGTCATGCTGCAGCGCCCACAAGCCGCACTGAAGCAATGTGCTCGCTCTTACGTCACTAACTGTTTCTGGCGTTCATTCTCTGGGTCATAAAAAGCGCGCAGGAATACTATTCCGCGCTGATGTTAGCCGATTTGGTCGAGCCTGAAATGTTTTATTTCTGAGAAGGCCTTGGAATTACTTGAATCAAATTATATCGTTCCATCTTGGCCTTGCGCGGCCGGTGCGACATCTTATTGGAGAATCTCTCCCGCCGCGCACGGACAGACGCATCAGCGAGGGTAGCTTCCAGAGCGCTCTCCGGTCCAGATACCGACTTCTGGACAAGTATGTACAGCTTTCAAGCTTATATTTGATATAAACATATATATATATATATATATATATATATATATATATGTCTGAAGCAATGCATGCCCATGCGAAAATTTCTGGACACAAAGTGGGCTGGTTGATTTAACTGGACGCCTGATTGTCCGACATAATGATAAGCTTTTAGAAATACCTAAAATTAATGGCGTGGTAGCTTTAAACAAGCACCGCTGTAAATGAACACAAAGCGTTAATAACTGCATACTTTTCCGAAAATTCATTCCAACCCCTCGCCACCTCGCCACCTCGCCTCAAAGTCATGTCAGGTACACTCTTATGGCATGGACGTCATACCAGCTGAAGCTCGGGGCGTATGGCGCTGCCTTTACACCTGAGTGGGCGCCTGTGAATGTGGCTCTCCCAGGCCAGCTTTCTTCGGCCACACACAGCCGATCGATCTTATTTCCCGACGACGCAGCTGATAAATCGGGCAGCAAAGCTACTTGATTGCGTTCAATTGGTTTCGTTACCGTAATCACCTTTCTGTGGCTGCGAGTCGGCATCCGATGACCGCGACGCGCCCTGGCTGACCTCCGGCGACCTCCGGCGACCCCGGCTGACCTCCGGTGACCCGGGCGGCGCCGGCGGCGGTATCACAGTGGCAGGACGGCGGCCGCGGCGCGTCGGCTAGCTGGAGTGCGGCGGCTGCGCCTGCGAGTAGGCCGGCGACAGCAGGAACGGCATCGGTCGCTGGAAGCCGGGCAGGCCGAGCCCGGCCGAGAACACGGAGCCGGCGCCCGGCAGCATGCCGAAGGTGGGCAGAAGCGGCCGCGACGCCATGCGCAGCTTCTCCAGCTCCGCCTCCTGCAGCCGCTTGGACTTGGCGCGCCGGTTCTGGAACCAGATCTTCACCTGGGTCTCGGTGAGGCTGAGCTGGGCGGAGAACTCGGCCCGCTCGGCGATCGAGAGGTACTGCTTCTGACGGAACTTCTTCTCCAGCGACAGCAGCTGCTGGGTGGTGAAGGGCGTGCGCGGCTTGCGGTTAGGCTTGTGCTTCCGCAGGTGCATAGTGCCCGTGATCTTGGGCGGCTCCGGTGGCTCTGAAACAGCGGCACACTCTGTGTCAGGACGATCAGCAGGAGGTCAGAGGATGATCAGCATAACTATGCATTCCAAACCAGAGGCGCCAGCCACCCATCGCTCTCAAGCATGTATCTCGACAAATACGTGGTACGATGCGCAAGGCGCGAGCTGCCTTTGTGACCTCTCATTTTAAAAAGCCAGGACTAAGGTTCGTAAGGCTTACAGAAAGGAACGGGGCCTTCATAAATTTATAAAAAAGGAACTTTCTATGCATACAGCTCCTTTTAAATGCACCAGGCACCTAACACAAAAACGTATATAGTAATTGATATTCACGGTATCTTTTCAGTCGGGGATTCAGTTTTCGAGGTTCAGGGTACTTTGAGCGCTGCATTCAAAGCGAGGGAAAAATGCCTACAAATGGATTTAAAGCCTTGTCTGTGGTTTTACATTGGCATCAGCTGTAACTAGGGGTTACTGTATTAACATGGCAGAATGGTCAATTTCAAAAACATGGTCGGATTCCAAATGCCAACGAAATTAGAAAATGACGCCACTGCGACCAAACACTGAGACTATGTGTGAATAATGCTTCATGGTGTTGCCATTGAGCCGAGAAATCTGACCCGGGACATTAAACAGCATTCGATAGCTCTTGTCAGTTGATCACTGGATCATTACCCTGAGATTTGTCAGTGGGTGATACTATCGTGGGAGATCTGCCCACGAATGATGTCATGGGGCCTAGGCTGGATCATTGCCCTAAGATCTGTCGACGAGGGATGCTAGGGAGCCTATGTTGGATCATTGCCCTGAGATCTGTCGACTAGGGATGCTTGGGGTCTAGCATCCCCGTCTGGAGTCGAGGAACATGTCTACCAACGACCATGTATAAAATCCATTGGTGCCACATTACGCCATCCCCTTCCGCAGGACTCCCAGTTGGGGTACAGGTCCCTTGGTCGGGGTGCAGGTCCCTTGGTCGGGGTACAGGTCCTTTGGTCGGGGTGCAGGTCCCTTGGTCGGGTGCAGGTCCTTTGGTCGGGGTGCAGGTCCCCTGGTCGGGGTGCAGCGGTGAGAAGTTTGTCCGCCGGGACCGCTCCTTGTGAATGCCAACGCATTCCGCAAGAAGTACTTCACAATGGACTCCGGCATTCATTGCTCGAGGTCATGACACATTTTTCCCTCCGGCAGCCAAGCAAATTACGGTTGCAGGAAGGTGCGAAGAGGCTATAGACCATTTATCCACGAAACTGTACTTTTCCGTTGGCCTCTGTTTGGCGCCAGGACTATTGCCACGCTTGAGCACTGACCTACTCCCCTCCGTTTATAATAACCTGACTCAGTGCCGGCCGCGAGAAACAGCATAACGTCACGCAACACGCGATCCATTTAAAGGAAAAACTACACGGAGAGCCTTTGTGGTTACTGAGGTGTCTGGGCAATTAGAAGCAATCGATCCGTGATTTGATGGAGGATATCTCTAAAAGGGCACATTTGAGCTGCTTGGATTTTTAGCACGACCGACTCGCTTGATGGGGGAACTTTGATAAGCAAGAACGATTATTTTCCCCACCAGTGGTGCAGATTTTTGCATACTTGCAACTGGATATCTTGACGCCACTGAATCTCGATTCAGGTCAAGGTACGCCATATTAAATATATTTCAGAAGTAAAACGGCAAGCCTGTCATTGCCCCCTCAGGATGCTTACGCGACTTGGCGTGACCATGGTCCGAGCCAAAAGGGCACTCACTGCTCATGAATGCGTTTTCCGTTTGTGCGTCATAAGGAACTGTGCTTGGCTAAGGCACGTTATCCTGCTTTTTAGGAGTGGTTCCACAGTTGCCTACACACTTTTAATGCGTGCAGCCCACAAACATATCGGTTGCTTCGATATTTTTATTTTCAAACCTGGGAAGTTTCCCCTGCGGTCGAATACCTCCGCACCGAAGTTCGCTGGCATGAATGCTTGGTCTGCTACGCTCTCCCAAGTTCACAGACATGACCCACACCCGCTGACCAGTGCTTATTCGGGTTTGTTTTCACTTATTGCTTCGCAGGACTAGGCCAAGATGCTGCCAGTGCACCACCTCCCCCTCATCTCCGGAGCGTTAATGCACTGCAGTGAGACCCCGGTTGTGCCCATTGTGGTTGTGGAGACGACAGCTTGGCCAATAACCACCTGCTGTTTCATTAAACTACCTTCGTGCTAAATTTATATGAAGCAAGGAACAAAACATACCAATGATACCAGATAACCTAACCTACGTCAAAAACACCATTTAGCCTATTACATCATAAGCCCAAATGCTACCACACGTCTTTCTTCTCCGCATTCAGCGCCGCAGATTTCGGCCGGCACAAACTCCCGCGCCAAGCCCTGCCCCGCGCGGAGCCCTGGCCCCCAGCAGAGCCCTGCCCCTCCTCGCCGAGCCCCGCCCCTACTCACCGAACCCTGCCCCTCCTCGCCGAGCCCTGCCCCTCCTCGCCGAGCCCCGCCCCTGCGCCAAACCCTGGTGTTGTGCCGAGCCCTGTCCATCCTCCCGAGCCTTATCCTTCCTCGCCGAGCCCTGCCCCGCTCAGAGTCCTGTCCCTCCTCGCCGAGCCCTGCCCCTCCTCGCCGAGCCCTGGCCTTCCTCATCGGGCCCTGTCCCTCGTCGCCGAGCCCTGTCCCTTCTCGCCGAGCCCTGACCCTCCTCGTCGAGCCCTGTCCTCCTCGCCGAGCCCTGCCCCTCCTCGCCGAGCCCTGACCCTCCTCGCCGAGCCCTGCCACTGCGCCGAGCCTTGTCCCGCGATGACAGCGTATGACACCTGCGCCTGTGACAGCGTTGCCGCACGCGGGGCTGTTGACTGTGACGGCGCCATACATCGCCTGCGGACGGCCGTCGTGACGTGTGTGCTCGGCACACACGGCTGCAGCGGCCGTGCCCCGTGTGGGCGCCGATCGCGCCGGGATTGGTGCGTCGCCGCTGCCACTCGGCGCTGACGGCCGGCCGGCGGACCCGGCCAGTTGGCACACACTCGCCAGGGCAAATACATCCGCCAGTCGGAGAGACTGATTTGCCAGTAATGCTAATTGGATGTTCCTGTGAGACGCTGACTAGTTTTCCTTGGCCGGCAGAGACAAAACAGTGCTATCGTTCGGGGCTGGTAAACACAGTTCTCCATTGCGTCACAGAAAGGCACAAGCAATTTGCTGGGACCAGGTTAGACAACGACTGGAGCAACGTTCAGTAACATATAAGGTTGGTAGGGATCGCAGTTCTGTACAAGGCAGCAGCCATGATGTACGAAAACGTCACATTGGCTCAAAGTCCAAGGCATTTGATCAACGATCTCCATGTACAAAAGCTGCCCTAATAGGTGTATATTCGCAGCACGCCAATAATTTTCTTTCCTACCTAACGCCACATGCAATCTTTGTCGGATTATTTGTAGCACAACAAACACATTTTGGATTGACATTTATGCTACCTTAATGACAATAATTGTGCACGTGAAATAGTGGCATTTTCGTCCACACGAGCTACGCGTGCACCTAACAATGGTAGGTGAAAATCATCTGTCTGTAATGTATGACACACCTGGTCTTCACCCACCGTCAGCTGTGGGCACGTAAACCGACTTGTTTCTAAATGACTCTGCTGCGCCACTTTGGTTTCACTTGGACCAAGGAACGGAAATGATTCTGCGCGTCCTGAAAAGATTTCACGTGACACACGTAAATATTTTTCGTCCGATTAGCTGCGAACATCAAAAGGCACAGAAACTATGAGGTCTCACAAATTCGATCAGTGCAGTTGTCACGAAAATAACCAAATTGTAAGCAGAAAGCGTGTCACGCTACGAATACGTCACAATCGCAATCTACGTCATGCATGACGTCGACGGCGTAGATTCCTTGCCATCCACGTCGCCTTAGAACTTTTGGTATGGCTAATGAAACACAACGAAATATTCCATTCGTGCTGCATAAATATAAGTGTCCTTCAAGTTGTGTCATTGAAACTGTCTGAAACATGATTTTATATACCCGGAAAATGTAACACGGCGAATACCATCCTGCACACTTCTGAGGAGCGGAAACGATCACAGCGATCGTATTAATGCCAAAGGCTGCGGTCTAACCGCGATTCGAACCTGTCCCCCCCCCTCTCCTCCCCTCTCCAGGTGAGTACCGAGTGTCCCAACCACTCGGTCACATCCTAACCACTTGTATCTGCTCACAGCACAACTCAAGGGCCTCCTGGAGTCAAGGCATTGCAAAAGTTAACGCAGCCTTTTTCGCTCAAATTATCCAGTTCTTGTAATGCACTGTTTGACAAATTTGGTGAAAAAGCTCTTGCTCACAGTCAAGCATGAGCAGAAGATCACCATTAAAATGCCTTGTGATGCACCGCGGAGGAGGTTTGTGATTACTATGATCCCATCCTTTATGAACAACACGAACCCAACCACAAAACGATGCTCTTATCACCATACACGTTAGAGATCATCATCCTATTCCAGTTCGGAGTCCGACATTAATAACGATATTCGTAGCCCCAAAGTGAAGTACAATAAGGAAAAACAAACAGCATATGTGAGACCTGTGCTTCGCCGGATGATCCTAGCCACAGAGGCGGGTAGAAGAGGGCAGTGGAAGGTTAAGGCGCTCCATGGACGTAAGCAGTCAGCTATGGATCATTTCAGGCCTGGTTTAAGTAAATTGGCGGGACACCCGGAGCATGGCGGCACCCTCCCAGATTAAATGTTTGATACACAGAGCTGTTGTTGGCCCTTCGGGACAGATAAACGGCGACAGCGATGACGGTCTTTGTTGAAGCCTAACAATGCTGGCGTCGCCCCTGCCGTGATAACAGAATATGCATGGCTGATCCCTCATCATCCACCGTTATCAGCGTGTACGCACGGATCAGGCCCGTCTGCCTATGGGCGATTAAAATCTGTTTTGAGACTGAATTAATCGGCTACAATGGACGTTCTTTTTGTTAGTTTCGGGACTATCACCATCA